TTTGTGACGGTGTGTGATGAGGGGGAGGGGGGTTCAGAGATGGTGCGACGTCACACTTTTGCATTATAAAAATCAATGTTAGAAAACGAATTTTAGACGTTATTTTGCGTTTTAGAAAACTTTTAATAAGTTGTAATAACAATTGATTAAAATACTCTATTTTCACAGAGTTCAGACAAGATTTTGGAAAAATAAAGCTTTTTAAAAAAAATTCAACTGCAATTTTGAGGGGGGGGGGGGTGTAGGCTGAGGTGTGACGTCATTTTAGGGGTGGGGGGGGTCTGGCTTTTTGTGACGACGTGTGACGGAGGGGAGGAGGGGGGGGGGAGGTAAAAATAGTAAAAAAAAGCTTGACGTCATTTATGGATGACCCCATATTGTATACTGCTAAATGTGATTATTAGTTTTAATGGCATCAGAAAACTCGTAGATGATGGATTTTTTTTCAGATAATTTGTGATTATAATTTATAAATACTTGACACTATGTATTTAGTATTTATTTTTGCAATTAATATTTTTTGCTAAGTAAACAAAATACGCAAAAGAAGCCGAATAATAAGCAATCAACTCTTTAGATGTGATACGTGAGCTAAGCATCTAGGGATAGTGGCGCTTATCAATAGAAATGTCTCCTTAAAAACATTTCCACGTTTATTAATTTAAAAATTGTAATAATTGATTCTTAAAATATTAATTTTGTTCCTTAATTTTGGTCTGAAGAAATTAAAAAGAAGAAATTTTAGGTAGGCCTACGTGTAAACCTCGACCACTGTCTTAAGTAATGACCATTTGGAATTACATATATAACAGATTAGAAATCGCTTGCACACATTTAAGTGATCCAACAAATCCTATTTAATTTGTACGATCTCTGGTGTTTTACCAGAACGTTGCGCAAACTGAGCTCCCACACATTGTTTGTTTGCCCGAAGACGTCAGATTGTTTTGTGAAAATTAAGCTCATTAAAATATTCGCAATTTACTTTACAAATTAAACAAATTTTAAAATTACTTTCACATATATAATAAAATAATAAGACATCTAGAAAATGAAAACTTTACATCCAAATAAGGCAAAACTCAGGCAAAACTTTTCACGTAAGAGAAGCAAATGTCATGCAACCCCTTATATATAAAAAAGGCAAACTCAGACAACCCCTTAGATTTAAAAAGGCAACCCCTTACATTTCAGAAAGGCAAACTCAGACAACCCCTTACATTTAAAAAGACAACCCTTTACATGTCAGAAAGACAAAAGGCAGACTGTGACAGACAGAAAGAATGTTGCCTCTACCAACCTTACCTGGTCTGCGTTGATGATTCCCTTCTCAAGCTGCGAGTAGAAATGCAAGTTGTCCTCCATCATCTTGACCACCGTCGCCCGCAGCTGGTCGGCCAAGTCCGTTTCCAGATTCGCCTCGTCCTTTCTCTGTGGCCGGCCGAATTCGTCCCTCTGTGACGTATGAAGCAAGGGGATGGCGGCCGTGATCAGACTCCTGAACATGCACCGCCCGTCCCCCTCCACACGGATCACCTTGCCGGGGAGGGACGTGTTGAGGGGGAAATCGTGGCTGGAACTGCCGGACTTGGCATCGTGCGTGCCGTTGGAGTTGTTCCTCTCGTCCAGAGCCGAGGTGTTCTTGTTCGGGTGATCGACGCACGAGTGGACCGACACGCGGGGTATCCTAGGCCTGGGTAAGTTACCCAATTCAGCGGACACCTCGAAAACATCGACAGTGTGGTTCTGGGAGTAGTTGGTCTTCATGTTGTTAGCGCGTGGTTCGACGATTGTGAATTGCCGCTTTGGTAACTTGGGCTGTATAGCCATGGTCTTTTTACCTTGAAATGTTTCCGTGTGTCTGTGCTGGTTTCTGTTCTGTCCAATGCAAATATTCCCACACTGCAGCGAGCAGATATTTCTATCTTGTCTTGAGCATTGACATCTACCATCGTTTACTCGGGCTCCCAAGTCTCTCCCCTCATGTCCACAGCTTGACGTGTGCTGATTGTGAGATTGCGAGCCGACGACTTGACGAGGGTCGAGCAAGGCCTGAGCTGGCTCCTTGCGCGAGAAGAACGTCTTGTAGTTGTTGCCCTCGAAGATGGTGCTTTTAAACTCAATCTCGATGCACATCTCGTCAGCTCCCTTGGCGGGGCGGCACAGGAACGTTCTCATCTTGGGCAGGGGCACTGGCCTGACGATGGCTGACTGGAGTTTGAGTCCTTGGCTTTCGCCCCGTCCCACACACAGGCACCGGACGCCAGGCCTCTCCCCCGGGCAGACGTTGCCGCACCAAGAGGATTTCTCGGTCAGCTGAGAGGAATTGTTTCCATCTTGCTCTGGCTTTAACCGACGGCCCCCTGGTGTCATGTCTTGTGATTTACCAACATCGTCCATTAAAAATTGATCGACGCTGAACGGCTCTTGGTTGTGTTTCAGCGCTTTGGGTGTGTCGGTGTTTAGACATACCTCAATGACGTCGTCGTTTACATCCTCGGGGTGCAGGGAACTCTGGGACGACTGTTGTTGTTGCAGCTCTTCGTTCTCCAGGGATGAGTTGTTGCTGTCCCGCTGCTCAGAACTAAAACTGGCACTAGAAGAAATATCACGTGATCTGTTCGCGCGTGTCGAGGTTGAAACTTCTGGGTTGCAGAAATGTGAAAAACTGGAGTTGAGTTTTTGAGCGTGGGACGGAGGCAAGAGCCTGAGCAAGTTGTTCGACGTGTTTGTGTTCGCGTCTTCGTCAAACAGACTGCTGCACTCTTGCTGCGCGCCGGGGTCAGGTTCAAGGCCACGCCCATCATCCTCCTCGTCGACCCACCCCAAAGAGAAATCGACATCGCACAGACAAGCAAACTGACCGTACACGCCTGACGATCGTTTGCAATGTTTGGGCAGCTGACAGTATTTGCAGGATTCTACTTGCTGCAACGTTGCTGAGGAGTCAGTCCAAGAGGTATCCGAACTCCGGTCTATTGTCTGGAGACAGGCAACGAGGTTCATGAAATCATGTCGGTTGACAAACCCTTCAACCGTGGAGACACCAACCTGACTTTGGTGCGATGTTTTTGGCAAACCAATGTCTACGCACTCCATTTCAAATACATAAAATCACAGCGATCAGAACGGTACCAAAATCTTCACGGCTAAACATCACTAAACGATCTATAGGCTACTTACACATTGAACATGCATTGTATGGGCAAATCAAGGTTTGTTTGTGTGTGATAAAGTATTGTATTCACATAGAGTCTACGCTCCAAACAAGTTGACATAAATCTTGATCTACCATTTTTTATATGTTTCTCGACAGGAATAAACTTAATGAGCAGAATGACTTAGGAACTTAAAAAAAGATCTTAAAATAATAGCTATACACAAGTGGTTGGACTAAGTCATTTCTTCCTCTGTTCTGTGTATCAGGTTCCGTTCATAAACAAAACCAATTAGTGCATTCAGTGCACGCACCGGGAGTTGTGTGCATTCGTTTATGGCGTGAAGGAAATCAAAAAGTTTAAACTATGGTAACAAATGTCCAGTGTTTCTTTCAGACTTTTTTCTCCGGGGAGGGAGTGAGGGGACGGCGACACTTAAAACTTTCTAGGGGGAGGGAGTGCGGGGCGGACACTGGTAAAAGTATATAAAATACCCTATATACATTCTATTCTTTTCGGGGGGAGGGGGTAAGGGGCGGAGGGGGAGTGTAGAGTTGCGAAGGGATGCCTGAATTAAACACTGCTAAAGTCCTGTTGTAAAGTAATCTAGAAGCGAATAAACTACCGTAAGAGGAATCACTTTCTTCTGTATAAGGATCAAACTTCAAACAATTCAACTGCTAGTTACTGCATTACCAGACCCACGCCCCATTTATTTTTAATAAAACAAACATAAACAACAGCCCTACACCTCAACCCCCACTATGTCCAACACAAACATAAACAACAGCCCTACACCTCAACCCCCACTATGTCTAACACAAACATAAACAACAGCCCTACACCTCAACCCCCACTATGTCTAACACAAACATAAACAACAGCCCTACACCTCAACCCCCACTATGTCTAACACAAACATAAACAACAGCCCTACAGCTAAACCCCCTCTCCACTTCTTCTGACGCTAATACAGCGCCCCCTACCCTTACTGTAGTAAACACAACACCCCCACCCCTTACTGACACTGACATAGAGATTAACCTCTGTTGACACTGACACCGCGGCCACACCCCCACTGCAACTGTTACAGCGTCCCTCCCCTTACGTATACTAACATAGAGCCCCCCCCCCTCTACTGTGATTAAGACAGCGACCCTACCCCTATGTGACACCACACCCTAAGAGACGACGAATGCCTAAGTTTGTTTTCTTTCAGGTTATATTGCCAAAGCGTATTGGCGTATTTAAGGAACTACCTAAACGGTGAGAATCGTTTAAGCTTTCTTTTGTTGCTTTTTACAGCAGTGATAAGTCATCTAAAAAGAACAAACACTTTTCAACATGAAATAAAACAATTCTAGAACATCTTTCTACAATAAACCAACGTTTTAAAAAAGTACATTTGTAAAAATAACTCTTTTCTTATAACAGCGCATTTAAAACAACCGTTTTCATTCATATTAACAAGCATTATTTCGAATGATTTTGCAAGCAAATTATTTAATTGGGATATTTAAAAACATTTTTGCAGCAAATCCGTATTAACTTTTTAAAAAGTTTATTGTTCATGAAAATATTCTAAAATACTATGAACACAATTTTCAATAATTTAAAAATGTAACTAACATTGTTTTTTTTTTAAATGCAGTAACTTTAGGGCATATAATTAAACTTTATTTTGCGAGCCCTTGTATGTTAGATCTCATTTTTTAAAGGGCCAATTTTTCCCGTGTCCTACACGATCCAATAGATCAAATGGGAATTCCCGATGCCATTCACTTGAGCCGCACACTCAAAACCACCATCTTCAAACGTGACGCAATCCATGCAAAGCAATAAATTCGTCACCAAGGAAGAATGACGTCACTCTCCAATGAATTGACAAAACATTGCTGAAAGAGGGACAACGCTCAAATCTTTGGAGAAAATTATTTTACATAAAACATATAATTAAAAATAAACAAACGAAGCACGCGAGATAACGTTCTTGCCTTTTTCTTTGCTGGAATGAAAAGACAACAACCTTAGCTCCAGTGAACTCTTGGCATCACCGCTGACGTTATGACATCGACGACGTCGACGACTCAGGACTTGGCGGCCATGTTGGCCAATATGTCAGCCGCTTCGCTTTTTGTTGGGGAGCTGCTGCCTCATGTCAACGAGGTAATTGCTCTTTCTTTCTATTTAATTAATTATGCTAATTAGTTTAAAACCAAACGCGTGTGATCCGTATGATATGAACGGGTAATTTTCGAAGGTAGGTAAGGCTTATGCTTTGTTTTGGAAATAACATTGGCTACCTTCTAGATCTAGCGCTTACTACAGTTATAATCCTAGAATCTTGATCTAGGCCCTAATCAATCTAGCCATAGGCTCTAGCCCATCCTAGCCCTAGGCCCTAACCCATCATAGTCCTAGGCCTTAACTCATCCTAGCCCTAGGCTCTAGCCCATCCTAGCCCTAGGCCCTAGCCCATCATAGTCTTAGTCCTTGCCCAAAACCTAACCCTAGCTCTAGCTCTAGGACATAGCCCTAGGTGTAGCCCCAGCCTGTAGCAATCAGCTATTAATCATTAACCATTATAACATAGCCACTAGCCATTAGCCATTAGCTTTTAACCTTTAATCTTTAACATTGAGCCTTCAACCTTAGCCATCAGCCTTTCTTTAGCCATTAACCATTAACCATTAGTTAGCCTTTAGACCCTAACCATGTTCCCATTATAATATAGCCACTAGATTCTAGCCATTAGCCATTAACTTTTAACCTTTAATCTTTAACATTTAGTCTTCAACCTTAGCCATTAGCCTTTCTTTAGCCATTAACCATTAGCCTTTAGACCCTAACCATTAGCCACATTGGCCCTAGAGTACTAGACGAACTCTATTATAGCTATAGCATCCCTATCACATGAATGGCTGTATGATCACGCCCTACCCATAACCCTAGCTGTATTGTGGATTGCCATTTTTGTTACCAGCCATAGCCATTACCTTTACCTTGGCACCCAATTCTAATCTAGTTCCTGGTTCCTTATCCAGACTCTGAGATCCTAGTGCAAATACTGCAATCCTAACCGGGACTCTTGAGACCCATGTCTAGACTCTAGACCCATCGATCTTAGACTCTTAATCCAGGCAATGTTCGTAGCCTTGACCTTAGCCCTTATGATTACATAATAACTCTAATAAGATCTCTGTCCTATTCTCAACCTTAGCCCCGATATTATCCCTCAACCTATCAGGAACCATCTATACGATACTACCTTACTTTGCGCTTTGTAGTCTTTTCAAATACCAGTCCATAAAAATGGCTTACATAAAAACAATTGCTGAAGCTGTTGGTCCCAACATTATAATTAATCATTTCTAATTAATCTGCAATCATGCATTTAAATTTCGTACATGTATTACTAATTACATACGGTTGCATCAAATCTGTGGTTAGTGTAAGGGCAAGGGTTTGTGTTAGACTTAGCATAAATTAGGAACGCATGTATAGTATAGTTTCCTTTTAATGTATCAAATGCTAACATATGTCTAAGATGGTAAAGCAATGTGTACCTAAAAACTAAAAGTAACAATTTGAGCTACGCCCTGCTTCGGTCATCAAAAACTATAGATTCCCATTGATAGATCGACAGTTTCCTGTTCCCATTCAAAGAGCGACACTTTCATGTTCCCATTCATAGATCGACACTTTCATGTTCCCATTTAAAGATCGACACTTTCATGTTCCCATTTAAAGATAGACAGGTTCCTGTTCCCATTTAAAGATAGACAGGTTCCTGTTCCCATTTAAAGATAGACACTTTCATGTTCCTATTTAAAGATCGACACTCTCATGTTCGCATTCAAAGATCGACACTTTCATGTTCCCATTTAAAGATAGACAGGTTCCTGTTCCCATTCAAAGAGCGACACTTTCATGTTCCCATTCATAGATCGACACTTTCATGTTCCCATTTAAAGATCGACACTTTCATGTTCCCATTTAAAGATAGACAGGTTCCTGTTCCCATTTAAAGATAGACAGGTTCCTGTTCCCATTTAAAGATAGACACTTTCATGTTCCTATTTAAAGATCGACACTCTCATGTTCGCATTCAAAGATCGACACTTTCATGTTCCCATTTAAAGATAGACAGGTTCCTGTTCCCATTTAAAGATCGACACTTTCATGTTCCCATTTAAAGATCGACACTTTAATGTTCCCATTTAAAGATAGACACTTTCATGTTCCCAATCAAAGATCGACACTCTAATGTTCCCATTCAAAAATCGACACTTTCATGTTCCCATTTAAAGATAGACACTTTCATGTTCCCATTTAAAGATAGACACTTTCATGTTCCCATTTAAAGATAGACACTTTCATGTTCCCATTTAAAGATATACAGGTTCATGTTCCCATTTAAATATCGACACTTTCATGTTCCCATTCAAAGATCGACACTTTCATGTTCCCATTTAATGATAGACAGGTTCCTGTTCCCATTTAAAGATAGACACTTTCATGTTCCCAATTAAAGATCGACACTTTCATGTTCCCATTTAAAGATCGACACTTTCATGTTCCCATTTAAAGATAGACACTTTTATGTTCCCATTTAAAGATAGACAGGTTCCTGTTCCTATTTAAAGATCGACACTCTCATGTTCCCATTTAAAGATAGACAGGTTCCTGTTCCTATTTAAAGATCGACACTTTCATGTTCCCATTCAAAGATCGACACTTTCATGTTCCCATTCAAAGATCGACACTTTCATGTTCCCATTTAAAGATAGACAGGTTCCTGTTCCCATTTAAAGATAGACAGGTTCCTGTTCCTATTTAAAGATCGACACTTTCATGTTCCCATTTAATGATCGACACTTTCATGTTCCCTGTTAGAATCGATGTTTTGCTAGTTCTGTCTTGATTCGGATTTCACTAGGATTAACCCAGGCTATAACCATAGTCCTAACCTAAACACTGACATTTGAACCCTACAGACCATAACCATAGTCCTAACCTAAACACTGACATTTGAACCCTACAGACCATAACCATAGTCCTAACCTAAACACTGACATTTGAACGCTAATTAAAATCCTGTCTCTGATTCTGCTCTGCACTAAACTGACTCTAACACTGCTTATCCGGTGTTAAGTACAAAACATTCCAAACGATACTGTGAGAGCATGCCGGACATTTGACAATCATTGGAAGATGGCTTGGTAGTATTATCATTACAGCTAGGTTTCGACGCTACTTTGAATGTTATGTTTGAGTTTTTTTGGGGGGTTTTGGGTGGGGGGAATGTATTGTTATCAGTTACATGGTAATAAATGGTGTTTAGGTGTATTGCAAGTGGTGTCTTTATTTTACAGGTGATTTTATACAAGAAGTTTGCCAATTGGTGTCTTTATTTTGTAGGTGATTTTATACAAGAAGTTTGCCAATTGGTGTCTTTATGTTGCAGGTGATTTTATACAAGAAGTTTGTAAATTGGTGTCTTTATGTTGCAGGTGATTTTATACAAGAAGTTTGTAAATTGGTGTCTTTATGTTGCAGGTGATTTTATACAAGAAGTTTGTAAATTGGTGTCTTTATGTTGCAGGTGATTTTATACAAGAAGTTTGTAAATTGGTGTCTTTATGTTGCAGGTGATTTTATACAAGAAGTTTGTAAATTGGTGTCTTTATGTTGCAGGTGATTTTATACAAGAAGTTTGTAAATTGGTGTCTTTATGTTGCAGGTGATTTTATACAAGAAGTTTGTAAATTGGTGTCTTTATGTTGCAGGTGATTTTATACAAGAAGTTTGTAAATTGGTGTCTTTATGTTGCAGGTGATTTTATACAAGAAGTTTGTAAATTGGTGTCTTTATGTTGCAGGTGATTTTATACAAGAAGTTTGTAAATTGGTGTCTTTATGTTGCAGGTGATTTTATACAAGAAGTTTGTAAATTGGTGTCTTTATGTTGCAGGTGATTTTATACAAGAAGTTTGTAAATTGGTGTCTTTATGTTGCAGGTGATTTTATACAAGAAGTTTGTAAATTGGTGTCTTTATGTTGCAGGTGATTTTATACAAGAAGTTTGTAAATTGGTGTCTTTATGTTGCAGGTGATTTTATACAAGAAGTTTGTAAATTGGTGTCTTTATGTTGCAGGTGATTTTATACAAGAAGTTTGTAAATTGGTGTCTTTATGTTGCAGGTGATTTTATACAAGAAGTTTGCCAATTGGTGTCTTTATGTTACAGGTGATTTTATACAAGAAGTTTGCCCCAATGGGAACAGTAACATCAGTGAAGTTGTGTCGGGACTGGGTCACGGGAAAGTCGTTATGCTATGCTTATGTCAACTTCGAGAATCCAGCCGAAGGTTAGTGTATGGACAGCTGTACTAGGTAGACCGCATTTAGTTAAGACTCAATGATTTTATAATAAGGTTTGTGTATGGACAGCTGTACTAGGTAGACCGCATTTAGTTAAGACTCAATGATTTTATAATAAGGTTAGCGTATGGACAGCTGTACTAGGTAGACCGCATTTAGTTAAGACTCAATGATTTTAACGTAAGGTTAGTGTATGGACAAGCTGTACTAGATAGACCGCATTTAGTTAAGACTGAATGATTTTATCGTAAGGTTAGTGTATGAAAAGCTGTACTAGATAGACCGCATTTAGTTAAGACTGAATGATTTTATCGTAAGGTTAGTGTATGAAAAGCTGTACTAGATAGACCGCATTTAGTTAAGACTGAATGATTTTATCGTAAGGTTAGTGTATGAAAAGCTGTACTAGATAGACCGCATTTAGTTAAGACTGAATGATTTTATCGTAAGGTTAGTGTATGAAAAGCTGTACTAGATAGACCGCATTTAGTTAAGACTGAATGATTTTATCGTTAGGTTAGTGTATGAAAAGCTGTACTAGGTAGACCGCATTTAAACTCAATGATGTATCGTTATCTCATGAGAACCAATAATGGTCGCATTACATATATCATTTCTCATTAATAAGCTACCAGCCGCTTTGTGATATGTTGCAAGGTTTAAGATTAAGACTAGACTGAACGATATTCGCCTGTTAGCCCACTTGTATAAAACTATTTGTAACCCTAAGCTTTACACTAAAACACAAAACATATTCCTTATCGTATATCTAAGGGTTATTAATTGATTGCTAACTGCTCACAAATGTGAGGTTTGCCTAACAAATACACAAATTAACCCTTGGATAATTTTGAATTATTATCTAGATATTTCTTCTGAAATATATGTTTAATCAAATAATGATGTAGCTCATCTGTTTTCAGCCGAAAAAGCGTACCGTTCATTGAACTACGAGCTACTGGAGGGTCAGCCCATGAGGATCATGAAGTCCACCCGCAACCCGTGGCTCCAGAAAGGCGGGGACTGCAGCTGCTTCCATCACCACTGTTGTAGCAGCAACAACAACAAAGGTTTCGTTGACGCTAAAACACTGGTCGAGGCTATAGAGAGTTACAGTATGGCTTTTAAGGTAACTTTGTATTGTGAGCTTAACTTTGCGGAGTTTGTTGTTTCTTAGTATATTATAGAAGGTTACAGTATGGCTTTTAAGGTAACTTTGTACAGAACATCAAAGTTAGGGAATTTTTCGTCCTTTAATCTTATAAACTGCACATTAGAGATTTACAGTATGGCTTTTAAGGTAACTTTGTGCTGTGAGCTTAACTTAGAGAGTTCGTTGTCTTGTAATCTTAAACACTATTTATTAGAGAGGTACTGTATTGCTTTTAAAATAACTTTGTGCTGTGAGCTTAACTTTACGGAGTTCGTTGTTTTGTAGTATATTATAGAAGGTTACAGTATGGCTTTTAAGGTAACTGTGTTGCGAACATAACTTTAGGGAATTTGTTGCTTTTAATATATAGATAGCAGGTTATAGTATGATTTTTAAGATACCCCCGTGTTGTAAACTTTACATTAAGGGTTAGGAGATGTTTTCAGTTTTTCAAATCCCATAAAAGATAAAATAGAAGATTGCAGTGTGGCTTTTAATGTAACTTTGTGTTGTAAACTTAACTTTAGGAAATTTGTTGATTTTGCAGTATATTGTAGTCAGTTACGGTGTAGCTTTTAAGATAACTTCGTGTTGTAAGCTTGGTTTGAGGAGTGTACTCAGGTTTTCTAGTTGTATAAAATATACACGTACATTGGATTATTACGGTATGGGGTTTTATGTAACTTTGTGCTGTTAGCTTAAATTTAGGAGGTTTATTGTTTTCTAGTCATAAAAATATATGACAGAAGCTTATAGAATAGTTTTGAAGGTAACTTCATGTTGTAAGCCTATTTTTTGGGAGTATTTTCATGTTTTTTGTATTATAAAATGTGTTTTAGATACTAAAGAGAGTTAACTGCGTATTTTTATTTGCTTCTATTTACCTGTGTTATTTCCCTTTGTTTACGTTTACTGAAAAAAAACTTCTACAAAAATTATTAGATGTAAATGTTCCATTTTTCTCACAGAATTTGGCTATCCAAGATTCAGGAGAAGCCAAGGGACCCACGGGCTATAAGTAAGTTAACTTTCTAATAATAGCACCTTGATATATGATTATTTAAAAATCTCATGATGTGTTGTAATTTTGATCTCACGACAGGTAAAAAGGAAGCTATTTCTTGGGTGTATCAGTCCCAACCAGTAGCATAGCACTAACCTTTGGTGTCTTCCTCGCCCTGACCTCCCTGCTTACAGTAGTAATCCCATCTCTAACTCACTACCAACAGCTATATTTGACTTCACAACCTACATCAGTAGCGGCAGCATTAAAAACAAATTTGACACCCTTGTCTATTGTCATCAACATTCGTGTCAAAATAAACGTTAAATAAGATTGTTGCCATTGTAGCAATATCGTTATCTCCCTTATATTTTAGGCTCCTTTACATTGTAATTATCTTTTCCCAGATATTCGAGCGAATTTCTGAAACGTATGAACAATGTTAACAACCGCTTCACGAACGTGTTCATAAAGAATTTCAAAGATCTGCTGGATGATTTTAAACTGTGGAAGTTGTGTAAACAATTTGGTGAAGTGACCAGTGCTAAGGTAGGTGGTGCATGTGTCATACAGCCTCGTTCTCATGCTAGGCGGTTAGCTGACCCTGACTTTAAAATACAGTGCGGAGATATTGGATATCTACTCAAGTATCTGGGAGATAATAAACCATTCCGCCTAGCAGAAACGTCGCTGTTGTATAGCAGATAATTCAGTTAACCAAATCAATATCAGTTAATTCATTCAGTTAATTAATTCAGTTAACCAAATCAATATCAGTTAATTCATTCTATTACTCAAATCAATAACAGTTAATTCATTCAGTTAATCAAATCAATACCTAAATATTTGCTTATTATTAATAGCATAATGATTATTATTATAAACCGACGTTTAAGAAATACAAAAGTGTAAGGGTATCGCCTACTAATCAATGAATCAGAATACAACCAGCCCGCCCCTAGACATAGTGTTATATGTTCACCATCTCTAACATATAAACATACCAGTCACTAATGCAAATAAAAGGTTGTCATCTAACTAGAACTGTTTAGACCGGCAGAAATCGCCGTCGAATATATTCAATAAACTTAATCAAATGTACTTCTATGGTGTCAGAATATTCGACCAAATCATTTCATAGAAACTTTTTTTTTGTTTACTGTCTCTATAGAAACTATTTAACTTTCTATTGCCAGTCAATAAAAAAGTAATAAGTTATGAGTTTCAAATTTGTAGTGTATTCGATATAATACAAAAACTGACAGATCAATATTTACAGATTCATTGAACTCAGTGACTGGTTTTTAAATCATCAGTTTCAATGTTTGCTTTTAACTTAGTGGGCAGAAAAAAAAACCTCACGTAATATTGATTCACTATAAATACTATACCTTGTGACATCTTTTATTTACTAACATCTTGACCGTATTTATATGAATAAAAGCGCGCCTCTGTAAACACTATGAAACCATTACTCCCCAGGTCATGGTGGATGAGTACGGTATCTCCAAGGGCTTCGGCTTTGCTTGTTTTACCGATTCAGACGCAGCTCAGAGGGTAAGCTACAAGGGCACTCACTCTTGTTTTGTTTCTGCATTATGAAAATGAACAGGGCTTACCTCCCCTGGCTGGCTGTTGTGACACGAATTCTCACTCCAGCAGAGTTAGTTAGCTTGAAACTTTCTGATGGGGGATTTCCGTTTTTTCTGATGGGGGATTTCCGTTTTTCGTCGTCTTGCAGGCTGTGAACAAGCTGAACGGGCTGGTGTTGGATGGGCGGACGTTGTATGCTGGTCCGGCATTGACAAGGACACAGAGACAGAGAGACTTCAGTTTCAGATACGATAATGACGAGCACAAGAATGTGAGTTGGATGGCCTCTAAAAACCGTGTTTGTGGTTTCAAGTTCCCATCATGCCTTGAAACTATCCCACATTTTTTAAGACAACAAACTCGAAAACAACTTGCCATTAACATTACACCGTTTATTGTTCATAGTGTACTTTAATTTAGAACAAAACAAAAGCATATTCCAATTAGATCTAGTTGCGATGCATCTTTATTCAAGTATATTATTACTACCTATACATGGTTTCAAGGGCGATATAAATGAATCTGGAAGTTGAGAATAAATAATAACCTTACTGTGGGGATTGTGTTAAAAATTGTCCAGTCTTGCCGTTACTCTTGGGTTAAAATATTAATTTGTCACATTCACGTCATACGTTCAAATATTTATCTCTGTTTATTTAAGATTAACGTGACTCCTACCTTAAATAACGTTAAAATTTGTGTCTCTGTGTCCCCCAGGATTGGCGTCACAACAACAACAACGCCAACATGACTTGTTCCCCGCGCATTTGCATCCGGAACTTGCGAGACATTGTGGACGAGATTCGACTGAGGAAGGAGTTTGAGCGCTTCGGTCCTGTCTTCCAGGCAGAGGTACCCCATCTTTTTATTTTTATTCTACCCTCCCAGTTTCCCGAATAGTTACCATCTTTTGAAAATTTCTCCCTCCCAATACACCACATAGGTTATCTTTTTATTTTTTTTATTTTCCCCTCCCTGATTCCTGCATCATCTTTTCCCCCTTTGTGTCTAAGAGAGCTGAAGTAAAGTTCATCTGTTTCAATGACCTCGGCATACAAGGGGATAATGTATTCATCACTATGCCCAGCCGCCTTTGTTTCCTAAACGTTAATTAGGTACTCATTAGAGTTGGGTGGACCAAAGATGTTCTACTGACATGAACCTAGATTTTCCAGCTTGAGACCTCTGGGTTAGCAGACTAGCGCTCTACCGCTAGGTCACACCGTCCCTTAGTTTCCTGCATAAGTACTGTTCATCTTTTAAATTTCCCACTCCCAATTTCCCTTAGAAGTTCCGTCATTTTTATTTTCCCCTACCATTTCTTCTCACAGATTCCGTCTTTACATTATAATTTTTCTTTACCAAAATCCATCAAAGAACCGCCTTTCAATTTTCCCTCTCCAGATTTCTCTCAAAACCCCTAAAACAACCCCGAATTTTAGCTCGATGAAGTATTTATCTTCTAATTCAAATAGTTAACATGAAATGCCTTTATTCCAGTTGTTAAAGACCTACGACGGAAGATCAAAAGGGGTCGGATATGTTACTTACAAGGAGCAGACTGACGCGACCAAGGTTTGGCACCAACATTTTTCTATCCCAGTTTATTTAAACAGCGCAGAAGGGGGGGGGGGGGGGGGGTAGCACCCGACGTAGCACCCGACGTCGCTACGCCACTGATAAATCGTTCTTGTTCAAACTTAGACGAATGTATTTTTTTATAAATCATAATTAATCGGTTAATTAATTGAAACGAAAATAGACATTATTTTACTTTTAAGAGTATTTAAAACGTTAGTTTTGTTTCTTAACATTGCGTAATGCTACTTGTTTTTAAAATCCCAAGATAGCTGTAATATAAATGTTTGTTGCTTATTACTAATAATAAACTGTTGTCGTTAAATCAATCTGGATTATATCTAAATACGGATCAACCTTTCTAATCCTAGGCTCTAAACTCCATGCATGGCAAGGTGATATACGGCACTCGAATCAGTGTGACGTATGCCCATAACTACACAAACACGGCGACGAATACGATTCCAGACAATTCTTTGACCCCCACCAACACCATCAACGGTGGCAGCGACCCTGGAACCAACACCAGCAACGTCACCAACACAAGCAACGACGGCGACAACAACAGCAAGAATTTCATGCAGCTCAAAGACCTGGTCAGCTCTCTGGCAAACAAAGGTCATCCCGTCAACATCAACGACATTAGTAACTTCAACACCGGCAGTAGCGTGAATCGAAACTCCAGGTCAGGATATGGCTTACTTCGTTAGTAGCGTTAATCTTACACCCAAGTAAGGTCGTTAGTTCATCATTTGCGTTAATCATAGAGCCAAGTAAGGACGTTACTTACTTCATCAGTAAAGTAACCTTATTGACATTAGTTACCTATCAGTAACGTTAATCTTAGACCCAGGTAAGGACGTCAGTTACTTCATCATTAGCGTTAATCTTAGACCTAAATAAGGACGTTTAGTTACTTCATCAGTAACGTAACCTTAACCACCATATTGACATTGGTTACCTATCAGTAACGTTAATCTTAACCCTAAGTAAGTACGTTTGGTTACTTCATCAGTAACGTTAATATTAACTCCAAGTAAGGACGTCAGTTACTTCATCATTAGCGTTAATCTTAGCCCCAAGTAAGGACGTTAGTTACTTCATCATTAGCGTTAATCTTAACTCCAAGTAAGGACGTTTAGTTACTTCATCAGTAACGTAACCTTAACCACTATATTGACATTAGTTACCTATCAGTAACGTTAATCTTAACCCCATGTAAGGACATTTAGTTACTTCATCATTAGCGTTAATCTTAGAGCCAAGTATAGACCATGGTTACTTCTTCAGCACCGTTACCCTCATCAGCAGTGTTATCAGAAACCAGTGTTTATTCCAGACTTTTTTCTCCAGAGGGGGGGGGGGGGGTGGCACTTGAAATTTTCAGGGGGGCGGTAGACTTTTCGGGGTGGGGGTGGGGGGTGGCGGACACTGTTAAAAGTATATATCTCTATAATAATAGTTTCGCTGTCTGTGTATCTGACAAGAACGCTCTGTCTGACAAGAACGCTCTAGAGAAAACACAAGCAATTTAAAAACATGCACAGTAATTCGAAAAACGAAATATGACGTCGACACATTTAGCGCACAGAGTAGAAAATAATCTCAAACCCAGAGAGTGCTCAAAGTTATATGACGTCATTGATTTTCGCGTTAACATTGAATAAAAAGGAAATGTTGTCTAATCTAAATGGTTTGCGTGAAGAGTTTCTTGCATACAATTCTTCGGGTAGGGGCGAAGCCCCACCCCCCGCGTAAGAACGTCTGAGCCCCCCCCCTCCCCAACTCAAAAGAAATTTCTTCATCGATACTCTATAATAAAATTACCGCCTAATTAATGTGTCTAATCTAAAAAGTGGTTTTCTTGCAATGGGACGGTAGACATGTTTTTTTTTTGGGGGGGGGGGGGGGGGGGTGGAGGGGTGGGGGGGGGTGTGTGTGGGGGGGGGGGTGGTGTGTGGGGGTGGGGGGGGTGGTGTGTGGGGGGGGGTGGGTTGGTTTCAGTGTTTCTTTCAGACTTTTTCCTCCCCGGAGAGGGGTGGGGGTACTTGAAATTTTCGGGGGCGGGGGTAGAATTTTCTGGGAGGGGGCGGACACTGGAAAAAGTATATAATTATATTTCGTTGAATGGGACGGTAGACATGATTTTTTTGGGAGTGGGGGGTGGGGGGGTGGGAGGTGGGGGGGTGGCGGGGGGGGGGGGTGGTGGGGGGGTGTGGGGGGGTGGTGTGTGGGGGGGGGGGTGGGGGTGGTGTGGGGGGGGGTGGCGGGTGGTGTGTGGGGGGTGGGGGTGGGGGGGTGTGTGTGGGGGTGGGGGGTGGGTGGTGTGTGGAGGTGTGTGTGTGGGGGTGGGGGGGGGTGGGGTGGGGTGGTTTCCTCATCGATACTCTATAATAAAATTACCACCTAATTAATGTGTCTAATCTAAAAAGTGGTTTTCTCGCAATTTCTTTAATGCAATTCTTCGCGTAGTGGCTAAGCGCGACACCAGTGTTTCTTTCAGACTTTTTCCTCCCCGGAGAGGGGCAGGGGGGTACTTGAGGTTTTCGGGGGCGGGGGTAGAATTTTCGGGAAGGGGGCGGACACTGGAAAAAGTATTTCGTTGAATGGGACGGTAGACATGTTTTTTTGGGGGGTGGGGGTGGGTGGGTGGGGGTGGGTGGGGGGAGGTGTGTGGGGGGTGGGGGTGGTGGGGGGTGGGGGTGGGGGTGGGTGGTGTGTGGGGGGTGGAGGTGTGTGTGGGGGTGGGGGGTGGGGGTGGGGGTGGTGTGTGTGGGGTGGGGGGGTGGGGGTGTGTGGGGGGGGTGGGATGGTTTTAGTTTAGAGAAAAGAGACAGCACTATCAGCCTAGCGCCCGTTGTACCCTTCCTCAACGGGCCATTTATCTAGTTTTCTATATAAATTTCATTTCGTTCGGGGGGTGGAGGCGGTAGACTTTCTTCGGGGAGGCTCTGCCCCCCCCCCCCCCCGAAGAGATGCCTGGAAGAAACTCTGTCAGAAACCCATATAAGGACTTGTCACTCTATCAGTAGTCCTATTAAAATTAAAAACAAAATTCTTTAGTAACGATAATGTTAGCAGCGGTGATTTAAAAAAAATTAAATCCACATTTTAAAGATTTTGCATATGGGGTTATTTGTTATTGACTTCTCACTACTGTATGCCATGTTGCCCCTCCCCCCCCCCCCCCCCCTTATGTTTTAATGCTTCAGCCCTACCCATGTAATAACCACATTTCAGTATTTTCCTCATCTTCTTAACACATCTACACAGTCAAACCCCCAGTTCCCCGTTTGCTGCTTCGTATACTTACAACTGGGGGGGTCAATTTACTTACTACTAGGGGTCACTATACTACTGGGGGTCAGTATACTAACTACTGGGGGTCAGTATACTTAGTACTGGGGGTTAGTTCGACAACAGCACGGTCAGATTTATGGTAATGAAACATAGCATAGTATCCTTTAATACATCACTGCAGGGCTGAATAGATTCCATTTGACATGTGTCCGTCCTACCTGTGACGGTGAAACCGTTTAGGCCTAGCTCCACGTTATTCTTACACCACCCCTTACCTGCTCTATACTCCCCCCCCCCCCTCTATACAACTACGTACATTCCTATCTTTCGTCCCCCTCGCAGGCCCCTCTCTAGTTGGCTAGTTTGTCCACGTGACACACCGCCAATGTAAAGGCATATAAGGGGATGCAACAAAGGGATTCTCGCACTCTCCCAGCACTGAGCTCAGCTGGTGGTGTCGCACGCGGCGTTGGGGCCGTCGGCCCGACCTCCACGTGTTTTTCTGGGTTTGGTTTTACTTAGTTATTTCTTACTTTTACTTAACTTTACTTTTTATATGCATAATTGATTAACAGTGTATCAAGGAGTTTTAATAAATACCATATATAGATATTATCTTGCTGTCATGTATTTTTTTCATAAACACTATACATTGTTACTTTACATTGTGCTAGTCGATGACTTACCTGAATTACTTAACTTTACACTGCCCGTGCCTTAGCCCACAGGGCATTTAAATACTTATCTGACCTAAACTATTCCTGCCTGTGATGTAATTCCACGTGGCAGTTGAGTAGATATTTGTTACCTGCTGTACTACTTTTATCCTGCACGTGTATCAGCCACGGAGCAGTAGATATATATCATACACAGCCTCATTCTATTTTACTACAGGCCGTAAACTGCGGGCATTGAGTTGACCCGTAGTCATCGGACCTGCTATTTTATTTTATTAACCGGCCGTAAACCCTTGCCAGAGACAAGAGGTCATCGGACCTGGTAAGAACCAATTATCATTTTAATAAGGCTGTGAACTCTGGGCATTGAATTGACCCTTAGTCATCAGACCTTAATAATATTACCTCTAGTTATACAATACTAGAATCTATATTCCCGGTAAAGAAGCGGCACAGACCCTCTTACCGGTTGAATACCAGCATTTCACTGATTTTACTATTATATCTATTATACGGTACCAAATATTTATCTTTTACCGTTAACATGGGGGCTCGTCAAACTAAATTACTAGACACGAGTTAGCCACTCGTATTTGAATAAATCCTGCTGTTTCACATATTTGAATTTTACTGCTGTTGTTTACTTTGAATTTTCAGAAAAAATATTTCTGTGTGTTATTGCTACCTGCTCAAGAAGTATTCTGTACAACTGACGGCTGCACAAGAAAGGCAAGACCACTGGAATTGTAGCTAAGTGTCAAGTTTTAGCTTTTGACTCTGACTTACTACGTTGATTCCTTTAGTGGTACTTTTAAAACTGGTCTCCTATTCTTGTAGTTAGCTTAGTAGTCTATTATTTGCAGAATAGGCCTACTTCTGTTAGTCTGTCAAATACTTTTCTTGTAGTTAGTTTATTGTTAGGCGTGACCCGGTACACGGCTTGAGCACACGCGTGTCACGTTACCAGTGTCAACGGCCTAGCCAGGCTGCATAATGAGTGGCTCCACTAGCATCCCCGCCCTCATCAGGTACGCCATTGACTATGGCTACGAAGGGGCGGCACTCAGTGCATTTGTTAGACAAAGATACCAAGAGAATTTAGAGGACTTACAAGAAGAAGAGGAACGAAGAAGATTAGACGAAGAAGAAAGATTAAATGAGCTGCAGTGGGAAGAAGAAATTAAATTAAAAGAGAGAAAATGGGCTATAGAAGCCAGGTTCTATGAATTTGAAAGATCGGAGTGGGATAGTATCAAACCAATAGCAAAACAAGAAGACGAAATGTTAGCAGATACCAGCATATCAATAGCTGAGAAAATTATTATTTGTAACGAACGTATAAGAAGAATGACCGAAATGAAAGCACGCTTGCAGATAGCCGAGCAGGCGATGCTTGAGCAGCTGAAAAACATGACCATATTAGGACCTGAACCAACACCCGCTACACCAGACACACCAACCCTGCCACAGGGAGAAGATAACACTCATGATGCTACACTGAGCCATAGCAGCAACTTCGTTAAAATTACTTCCCCTGCCCCGACTGAATCATCAATAAACACAGCACCGGATGCTTCAGTCGACCTTAATTATGCAAACAACCCAACCACTGAGATTGTCAGCCTTATCGGCCCCATTGTTATACCTACCACACATACCAAACCTTACCAGCCCCTGCCCAGAGGGAAAAAATTCGCCGACGAGAGGAGGATCGCTCTCGGTCCTGAATTACCTGTCGCAGCTATACAAGGGGCAGATAATCAACAAAGCAAGTTACAATTATCACCCTTAGCAACAAAATCTGGTTCTCGCCCCTTGCGGACCGAATCAGACTTATCGTCCCCAACTAACAGCACAGTCAATTACTGCGTACCTGGCCAAAACAAGAACTCTAACGCTCAAATTGGCCAACGCAGACAACCTCGTTGGAAGCCCCGCCCTCCTACATACAACTTGATGAAACAACGGTCCAAGGACACCAGCCTAAGTTATCGGGAGACGTGCCGTTTGCTCTATAGCTGTTGTGTCCATGTCTACCCATCTCTAATTACTGGCGCTTCACGTTTTGCCACCCACCCCATTCTGAGTTTTGACAAGTCACTAAGCATAACTTAGCTAGTTAGACTTAGGGTGGAATTTCTTAGTAAGTCATGGTCGATTGCCTGAACTTAGCTCAAATCCAGCCTTGCACTTAATTGATGCAAGCTGCACAGTTAAAAAATAATGAAGCTATTTTATGACTTACTTTGATATATGTTGTATACACAAGCATTGCTTTTTAAAAAAAATTCTATGGGCATTTATCATTGTCATATCTTATGTAATCATAACTTCATATCTATGCATAAATTTGTTGGTTTCCCTTGTTCTTGCAGTATTTTTCACAGGTTTCCACTGACTTCTTAGACCTGGTTGTCATACTTCTAAAACAGAACTTGGCGTTAGTTAATTTCCTGAATACAATGTAAACTTATACTGAACAAAAAAATGTCATTATTCACCGTTGTCTTATTACAATTTACATAAAAACAATTTTTGTTTTCTATAGCCTCTAATGGCATATCACAATGTTGTAATTGATGTTGGACTAATGTATACTCATTTTGCCTGTCAATGGCCTATGTTTCAATGTTATTAATTTTCGTCTAAAGACATTGTTATTTACATTTTTTGCTTAACTATACTTTGAAAGACACATGAAAAGATATTGTTTTATTTCTGGTCCGCTGAAAATTGCGTTACCACGAAATTTTAGCGAGGAAAGGGGGTGTGACGGTGAAACCGTTTAGGCCTAGCTCCACGTTATTCTTACACCACCCCTTACCTGCTCTATACTCCCCCCCCCCCCTCTATACAACTACGTACATTCCTATCTTTCGTCCCCCTCGCAGGCCCCTCTCTAGTTGGCTAGTTTGTCCACGTGACACACCGCCAATGTAAAGGCATATAAGGGGATGCAACAAAGGGATTCTCGCACTCTCCCAGCACTGAGCTCAGCTGGTGGTGTCGCACGCGGCGTTGGGGCCGTCGGCCCGACCTCCACGTGTTTTTCTGGGTTTGGTTTTTACTTAGTTATTTCTTACTTTTACTTAACTTTACTTTTTATATGCATAATTGATTAACAGTGTATCAAGGAGTTTTAATAAATACCATATATAGATATTATCTTGCTGTCATGTATTTTTTTCATAAACACTATACATTGTTACTTTACATTGTGCTAGTCGATGACTTACCTGAATTACTTAACTTTACACTGCCCGTGCCTTAGCCCACAGGGCATTTAAATACTTATCTGACCTAAACTATTCCTGCCTGTGATGTAATTCCACGTGGCAGTTGAGTAGATATTTGTTACCTGCTGTACTACTTTTATCCTGCACGTGTATCAGCCACGGAGCAGTAGATATATATCATACACAGCCTCATTCTATTTTTACTACAGGCCGTAAACTGCGGGCATTGAGTTGACCCGTAGTCATCGGACCTGCTATTTTATTTTATTAACCGGCCGTAAACCCTTGCCAGAGACAAGAGGTCATCGGACCTGGTAAGAACCAATTATCATTTTAATAAGGCTGTGAACTCTGGGCATTGAATTGACCCTTAGTCATCAGACCTTAATAATATTACCTCTAGTTATACAATACTAGAATCTATATTCCCGGTAAAGAAGCGGCACAGACCCTCTTACCGGTTGAATACCAGCATTTCACTGATTTTACTATTATATCTATTATACGGTACCAAATATTTATCTTTTACCGTTAACACTACCATGCAATTACTAAACGTTATATCAATGGAAACTAATCCCTAAACATGAGCTTAAACAATTCAACAAAACACGAACAAATATACTTCCAAACTGTAATACTAATCCTGTTATTAACACCCTTGTATATAGCCTTTGTCGTTTCATCTCTTGCTAGCGTTAGTACGAATTACCTAACTGTCTGTTTGTTGAACTACAGCAACTGTTTTTGTTGAACGCCACCACCACTGTTTTCTCGTTTCTCCTCCAGTAATAATACTGACAACATCAACACAAGCAATAACGCCATCTTGGCGATGTCAGCCCGCAAACTGAGTGACGCCGCGGGGGGTGCTGAGCCCGGCGACGCCGTCCATGGGAATGGCAGTGGCAGTGGTAGTGGCAGTGAGCAGAAGCGCTGCGACGACGACGCCGGCGACGACATGACAGGCACGACTGCAACGCTTTCAGTCAAGAATTTAGACGAATCGATTACTGACGAAAAATTGGAGAGTCTCTTCAGCGTGTATGGACATGTCTTGTCAGCTAAGGTGAGACTAGGCATTAAGCTGTGTGAATGTCACAAGACTAGTCATTTAGCTGTGTGAATGTCTTGTCAGCTAAGGTGAGACTAGACATTTAGCTGTGTGAATGTCTTGTCAGCTAAGGTGAGACTAGGCATTAGCTGTGTGAATGTCTTGTCAGCTAAGGTGAGACTTGGCATTTAACTGTGTGAATGTCTTGTCAGCTAAGGTGAGACTAGACATTTAGCTGTGTGAATGTCTTGTTAGCTTAGGTATGACTAGGCATTTAGCTGTGTGAATGTCTTGTTAGCTAAGGTGCGACTAGACATTTAGCTGTGAGAATGTCTTGTTAGCTAAGGTGAGACTAGACATTTAGCTGTGTGAATGTCTTGTTAGCTAAGGTGAGACTACGCATTTAGCTGTGAGAATGTCTTGTTAGCTAAGGTGAGACTACGCATTTAGCTGTGAGAATGTCTTGTTAGCTAAGGTGAGACTAGACATTTAGCTGTGTGAATGTCTTGTTAGCTAAGGTAAGACTAGGCATTAGCTTTGTGAATGTCTTGTAAGCTAGGGTAAGACTAGGCATTAGCTTTGTGAATGTCTTGTAAGCTAGGGTAAGACTAGGCATTAGCTTTGTGAATGTCTTGTAAGGTAAGGTTAGACTAGACATTTAGCTGTGTGAATGTCTTGTTAGCTAAGGTAAGACTAGGCATTAGCTTTGTGAATGTCTTGTAAGCTAGGGTAAGACTAGGCATTAGCTTTGTGAATGTCTTGTAAGCTAGGGTAAGACTAGGCATTAGCTTTGTGAATGTCTTGTTAGCTTAGGTGAGACTAGGTATTTAGCTGTGTGAATGTCTTGTCAGCTAAGGTGAGACTAGACATTTAGCTGTGTGAATGTCTTGTTAGCTAAGGCGAGACTAGACATTTAGCTGTGTGAATGTCTTGTTAGCTTAGGTGAGACTAGACATTTAGCTGTGTGAATGTCTTGTTAGCTTGGGTATGACTAGGCATTTAGCTGTGTGAATGTCTTGTTAGCTTAGGTGAGACTAGACATTTAGCTGTGTGAATGTCTTGTTAGCTTGGGTATGACTAGGCATTTAGCTGTGTGAATGTCTTGTTAGCTAAGGCGAGACTAGACATTTAGCTGTGTGAATGTCTTGTTAGCTAAGGCGAGACTAGACATTTAGCTGTGTGAATGTCTTGTCAGCTAAGGTGAGACTAGACATTTAGCTGTGTGAATGTCTTGTTAGCTAAGGTGAGACTAGACATTTAGCTGTGTGAATGTCTTGTTAGCTTGGGTATGACTAGGCATTTAGCTGTGTGAATGTCTTGTTAGCTAAGGTGAGACTAGACATTTAGCTGTGTGAATGTCTTGTTAGCTTGGGTATGACTAGGTATTTAGCTGTGTGAATGTCTTGTTAGCTTAGGTGAGACTAGACATTTAGCTGTGTGAATGTCTTGTTAGCTAAGGTGAGACTAGACATTTAGCTGTGTGAATGTCTTGTTAGCTTGGGTATGACTAGGCATTTAGCTGTGTGAATGTCTTGTTAGCTAAGGCGAGACTAGACATTTAGCTGTGTGAATGTCTTGTTAGCTAAGGCGAGACTAGACATTTAGCTGTGTGAATGTCTTGTCAGCTAAGGTGAGACTAGACATTTAGCTGTGTGAATGTCTTGTTAGCTTGGGTATGACTAGGCATTTAGCTGTGTGAATGTCTTGTTAGCTTGGGTATGACTAGGCATTTAGCTGTGTGAATGTCTTGTTAGCTAAGGCGAGACTAGACATTTAGCTGTGTGAATGTCTTGTTAGCTAAGGCGAGACTAGACATTTAGCTGTGTGAATGTCTTGTTAACTGAGACTAGTCATTTAGCGTGTATGGATATATCTGGTCACCTTAGGTGAGACCAGACTTCATGAGCACACAGGTCACATCTTGTCAGCTAAGCTCAGACCATGTTATACAGTTTGTCCAGCTTTGTCACTATTAAATCAAAACAATACTTTGTTAAAATAATGTATTTACAATTATGCAAGGTCGAATCATTCACTATATTGTGGTGGTGTGATCAGTTTTATGCCCCGCCGTTCCACCCCCTCCCCCCTTCCCAAGTACATCCAGGTATTATTAACAGCTGAGTAAATATGTGCTCAGGTCTGAGACTCAGCTATTGTGGCGTTCTATCACTGATTACTACATTCCTCTAAGTAGAAACAAGATATTCTTCTCGTAATATTCGTGTGAAACTTAATAAAGCTGTTAATTGTGTTGAATGTTGATCTGTCTATTGAATGCCTTTAGGTTAATATATCGATCCCTTTAACTGCCTTTAATAGAATACCATTATGACTAGTGAAGATCTAATTACATTATCGTAAAGATATAAATGGCAGATCAGATTAACACACGTAGTCAGATTACGTTTAGTTATTTTTTTAAAATAATTTATCCCAAGACACCGTATATAAAAGTTTTGTAATTTCTGAACAGGTTTCATAAAGTTTGTCTTTGTTTGTCTTGCAGGTTATTTCCAACGAGTTTGGTGTTTCCAAAGGTTTTGGATTTGTAATTATGTCCGATGTTCAGGATGCTGTACGGGCCATCAAGAATCTGGATGGCCGTATCGTGGTCAACCGGCCAGTCTACGTGGCCCCGACGGCCCAGGCCAGGTGTCTGACGAAAGCGTAAAATCAGGCCATTGGGATGACGTAATTACAAGTCAGGGTGGCAAGTTCACAAGAATTCTCTTCAAATCTTCGGGCTGTACGGCTTTGTGGTGACCTGCCTGTCGAAGTGGCCAGATCAACCTGACGGAAAACCCCCCAAAAATACGATACCATCAACGGCCTATCCCTCAGTACAGCACCTAGATCAAGACCCATCAAGTTTACCAAGTGAGCGTCAGGGGAAGTAACCAACCTGAAAGTTTCAGCAAGATGAGACGACCTCAGCACCCCCCTCGTCCTCAACCCCCTCCAGCTCATAGTGTCAAAATATGACTAGTTTTGTTACTCTGTTCAACCATTTTCCTCTTTCTCTCCATCTACTTGTTTTTGCCATATTTTTATATCAGAGACATAAAGGTCAAGAATCACTTGACATTTCTACTTGCCACTGTGCATGTTCTCGCTGCCAGACTGTCGTCTGTATGTACGGCAGCGAGCGCGCGCCACTGTGGTTATTTTTTACTGCTATCATTGTGTGTCATTCTCTAGGAACTTAATCACTCTCAACGTCTTGAACATTGTTCTGAGTAAACTTTTTCGTAATATGAACAGAATGACGTATTTGTAACAATAAAGACGTTTCATTACATTTTAAAACATGTGTTTCTAGCTTCAAGATGCATTACTTTTGTTTTTCCTTCATACTTGTATTCTCATGTTTGTTTAAAACTGTTGTTGTATTTATTTATATTTTATGTTTGTTTACAAAAAATGTTGCAAATATGTTTACCTAATGTTTTTTTTTTTAAATTCAGTTGCTTTATTTCTCTTAGTTATTTAAAATTAATTCGTGATTAGTACACAGTTCAAGCTGAACATCGCACTATTTCGCACCAAATCGACAGTCATCGACTCGACATATTCAGGTAGTTCCTAAACTGCTTGCAACTAATTCATTACTTTGCAGCCATCTGAATTGATAAAAGCGGTCGTTGTCAACAGCTACACAAACTTTACACTTAGTTTCAGCTATCTAAAATACTAACCTTAACTTGTATAGTATTTTGTAGTAAAACATGGCATTCAGTTATTTCCCTTAAGTATATTGTTTACTTTAATTTCTTATTACAAGAAAAGAAAGGTGGTCGATTCCTTGACCAGAGTACTTGTGAACTAGCCAGTTTTTTTTATATTCCTGCAGTAAGAGTAAAGGACTTGAAGATGTTGACATTGTTGAAAGCCTACTGAACTGTGGTCGAAGATGCTGGAATGTAATGAGATTTCAATGGCATCAGGTCCACTAGACGAGTCATTGGGTTCCAGAGTTTCTGCTCTGGCGCCTGCCAGCATCGTGGTGTGCAGTGTGAGCGCACCACGTGAATTAGCCGATAGGTGGCGCTACAGATAATGGAAATGCATTTAGTGGTCATCTTTGTGCATGCCTGACCGATATGTGTACATTAGGTGCTAGTGGATAAATGAGATGTGTATTCACATAACAGTAAACAAACATATTACAATGTTAAGGATCCTTCAGTACTTTCATTCACATGTCGAAAATTTAGAAAAAAAGTTTTAATTTACTAAAATTTACTTGTGTTCTAATCAAAATCTAAACTCACCCAAAATAATAAAAATAAAAATTGAATAATAAATAAAACAAGCTGAAACAAAAACTTTAAAGTGACAAAGATTATTGCCATCGTTTCATCTACTTCTCTATAAAGTCAGTTACATCTCCGCTACCCTAGCTATTGTTGATACAGTCGATTAGTCACATTAGGTCGACACCGCCCAATGATGGTAGACATAGAGGCACTTTAGAATCTGTTTCAATACTATCGTGTCAAATATTCCCTTTCTATTCTCTTTATTGATGAGATTTTCTCTAGGTCAGATGAACTGGTCAGACCACTTCGACCTACTTCTTTGTTTTAATTAAGTTAATTTAATTAACGTAATTGGAATTGATACATTGGTGACAACTGGGTTAACACGACAGCCATCACACCGTCAACTTTGTGCACCAGATAGAGCTAATGGATAACGTAAGAGCTGGTCTATTTTAGGACACATCTGCTTGTCTGTGTCATAATTGTTTGATGGCTTGTTTGTGGACGAACCTTTTTCAGTTAATTAGCACGATACATCACGGAAGGCATGTTTCTATTTTAGTTTTCTTACTCTAAATTTGTTTTCTAGTGATCATGGATTCTTAAGAGTTTTAGCTTTTAAGCTTCAGGACATATTTACTTATGTCTGCAGTTCACTTTTGAAAAAAGAAATACAAAATTTTATACTAATTAGTAATCAACTAGATTGCTATCGTGCAAGGAGCAATAACGTCGATCATTCTAAAGTCTAGACGTCCCGATAGTTTCTTTACTGTTGAGTTACTCTGACGAGAGAGGCTTGTCTTTGCTTTGTGTTGTTGTTGAGTTACCGCTGATCAAACGTTTTGCCTCCTAGTTTTGTTGAGTCAAAGTTCGTAATGTGAGGGGATTCTACGAATAAAGATTCAAGCAAAACAAAACTTGTCTTAAGTGAGTTAAAATAATACATCAAATCAACTGTTTGCTAAATCAACGGTTGCTAAACCGAAAAGTCTCGAGTTCGAACCCTAGGTCAGATGAGGCTCGTTAGCTGGTGACAGCCACTCTTCTAGGAGAGACAACTCCAAAATCAAACATCTGCTGCCTTGTAGTTTGTTCTTGGTTGGACAAAGGCTATGGAAGCAAATCCAAAAAGAAAAGCAGGCTGAAATCGGAGTCAATGGCCTCAATGGCGCAGAACCAGTTGACACGTAGCCTTAATTGTGCTGGAGGGGATCCCTTCCAACACTAAAATTAAGAACGAAGAAGAAGAAAAGAACTGTCCGTGTGAATGGCACTAAAGAACTAGAACTGAGTTGGATGCTAAGCTTTCATAAGAATTCTACTAGTAGTACATGAAATGGGTTATGATGTGAAGGTCTAGGTCGTTATGTCGCTGTGCTAAGTACATATGCATACACAGGCTATGGGAGGAGGTGGGGCATTTAGCACACATTGCTGAATGGTTCAATCGAATTGTTCTAATTTATAATATAAAGCTGATTGCTAAAATTAATCCAAGAGTCGAAATATGCCTGTACATGTTTTTTTATAAAGTTCTGTGAAGACAGTGTTCTAGTAACAAGACAAGTGCTCATCAGAAGGCTGAGATACTAAATCACGTGCTGTCACGACCTTGCGTAGGCACCAAACCACGTGCTGTCGGCATCGCGACGTTAACAACAGCTCTCGTGACGTAAACGCTTGTTTGCGCGCCATGAATTTCAGAAGGAAGTGCGTGATAGCACCGTGACGTAATGAAAACCAACCAATCGAGCTGCATCCATTAGAGGGGCGTTAACGCGGTCAAATGTCCGGGAATTCCCGGCACGCCATGGCTGAGGTTGGTCAATGTTTGGCAGCCTAGTTCGGATTGACTTACAGTATAAGTTAACCTCGATAGAACAACACCATCATTTACCCTTGATAGACCTACACCATAATTTAACCTTTAAGGACCTACACCATAATTTGACCTTGATAGACCTACACCATAAATTGACATTGTGACACCTACACCATAAATTGACATTGTGACACCTACACCAAAATTTAACACTGAGAGACCTAAACTATGATTTAACCTTGAGATACCTACACCATAATTTAACCTTGATGGAACTACCCCATAATTTAACTGTGTGACACCTACACCATAAATCGACCTTCAGAGACCTGCACCTTAATTTAACTTCGATCCTGAGTTGATTTTAAATTTAAAAAAGACGGTTATGCAAATAATTCATACCCCCCCCCCCCTTCCTCCCAGCAATATGTAATTTGCTTGTCCCTAAACCTTAAAGTGAAAACATTTTATCACGGCTGAGAAAAAACATTTTTTGTGTGAGACATTTTCGACAACAACCTTGTGGCATAGTTTTTTTTTTTTATCCAGATATATTTTATTCAAGGACGCCTTTCAACGATCGAATCTCTGAACATGTATGTTGTGACGGAACAAAATCTGATGTGGGCTTCACTAAACAAACAACCCACTTTAACTGTGTTGTTTCCAATAGCTAAACCAAGCGCTTCAATCTTACAATCCGAATTGGGTATGGTTCGCAAGATTTTATTGGGACCTGGCATGTAGTGGACAATCATAGTGGCTGGTCAATGAACTCATTAGCACGTATGTAGGCTCAACAGAAACAGATTTCTTTAAATAAAATATGCTGCAAGCAACAAAACTAAACAATCAACAAGACTAAACAAACAACAAGACTAAACAAATAACATGACTAAACAAACAACAAGACTAAACAAATAACACGACTAAACAAACAACACGACTAAACAAATAACACGACTAAATAAACAAGACTAAACAAACAACAAGACTAAGCAAACAACACGACTAAACAAATGACACGACTAAATAAACAAGACTAAACAAACAACAAGACTAAACAAACAACACGACTAAACAAATAACACGACTAAATAAACAAGACTAAACAAACAACAAGACTAAACTAACAACACGACGAAACAAACAACAAGACTAATCAAATAACAAGACTAAACAAATAACAAGACTAAACAAAAAACATGACTAAACAAATAACAGGACTAAACAAACAACACGGCTAAACAAACAACACGAAAAACAAACAACAAGACTAAACAAACGACAACAAAAACAACACAAAAAACGACTCAGTATAAAATATTCAGTGACAACACGACCCATTAATATTGAACCTAACGACATGTTCGTGTTGTAGCCTGATCGATAACATTTATCTCGATTGATCTCTGAGGGTTGATTGATTGGGACGTTAAAGATCTGGGTACACGAAATTCAATGACGCGGTACACAGATAGCCATGAGTAGTTCGGTCATCAGGGGTGTGGGGGGGGGGAGTGTGGGGGTTAATGCCAGGGTTAGTCTCGGGTCTGGTTTAGCGACGACGTTAAGCGAGAAACGATGTTACTGTAACCACGGTGAATGAGACACCCCAATCTCGGCCGTCGTTGTGTATCTTAAGTCGGTGGTCTGAAATGATGTGGGTCAGTTTAAGGCTGACCTCTCCGTACCCGCCCAGTGCAATGTCCATTTACAAAAACTTATAGAGCCGTGCAATTTTCATCTACTGGAATTTATAGGACAGTATTATGTCTATGTAGCGAAATATATAGTTCAGAATCATGCCCATTTACTGAAATATAGAGGTCAGAATCATGTCTATGTCGTGAAATATATAGATCAGTATCATATACATTTGCTGAAATATAATTTAGGATCATGTCAATTTACTTAAATATATAGTTATTATGCTAATCTACAGAAATATATAGGTCAGTATCATGCCAATTTACTGAAACATATAGGTCAGTATGTATGTAACTAACTGTCTCATTGAAATATCTCTTAGATGTGTTACTGTAGTCTTTTGCAACCCTAGCCTATCAGAAACACCCTTCGGGGTCGGCGTGGTCGAGTCGGTAAAGCTCATGGTTGCTAAACCGAAAAGTCTCGAGTTCGAACCCTCGGGTAGATGAGGCTCGTTAGCTGTGGCCTTAATGGCGCATAACCAGTTGACACGTAATGCTTAATTGTATTGGAGGCGTGGTCGAGTCGGCAAATTGCTCATGGTTGATAAATTCGAATAAAGTCTCGAGTTCAAACCCACTGGCAGATAAATCTCGATCCCCTTCAACACTAATAATTAAGAACGAAGAAGAAGAAGAAGAAGAAGAAGAAACACCCTTCGAAAGTGAGGTTAAAGGTTAAATCAACCCGTTAATCACACGCTTTAGCTCCTATTCCTCGCATAAATTTTCAGTGATTAGATCATTGAGAGGCGTCCTTGAATAAAATTTACCTCAATAAAAACTAGGCCACTAGGCCATTGTGGTTAAGTGCTAAAACTTAAAAAAATGTGGACTAGCTTCTTTGAGATCGTGATAAACTGTTTTCGCATTAAATTTTAGTGACAACAAACAAATTAAATTATACTGGGAGGGGGAGGTGTGTGGATTATTTGCATAACCGTCGCTTTTATCTGTTGTACTTGTCTTATTTCATGCACAGGCGTAGTGACCCCTCCCGGCGCCCGGAGACAAACTTTCAATTTGGCGCCACCTTCCCCCCCCCCCCATATATTTTTCTATATTTATAATTCAAAACTGTAGCTAAAATGAGCTTTTAAATTTATTTTTCCGACCCAATTTGTCGCCCCAAGGGTCGGCGCCCGGGGACATACGTACCCCCCACCCCCCGTCGCTACGACTCTGAATTCATGGCCAACAGTTTTACTAACCCTCCACTCTCTTCTAGGTCTTCATTAGTTGCAAGGCTACAGATATCTGGATTGCAACAAAAAGAAAGTTGTAGCTGTGAGGAGTAAGCTCAGTACTAACTATTCGGCTTACGTGCAAGAAACGTTAGCTGCGTTTTATGAGACCGACGTTCAGGAATTTCAAGCCATGTTTTTACCCACTTCGACAAGTACAGTTAGATGAATGAGAACAGTGGCAAATTTTCAAGAGAGAATTTTATTCATTAAATCATTAAGACACATCAGCTAGAGGCAGTTATACCTAGTGTACACAGACGTCAGCTAGAGGCAGTTATACCTAGTGTACACACATCCAGATGTCAGTAACATGTCACTGGAGGTTACTGATAGATGTTTAAACTAATATCACTTTTGTCCCTGCGGTCCTGATGGCCAGTCGGGTAGGTGAAGTAGAGTACACCTGTCTCTGTCTTCACGACACGAAAGAGGCTAGTACATTTTTCTATTTCAAAGTTTTATATCCAGCCGCCTTGACTTTCCCCGACCAGGCGAGGATTCTCTATCAGAGCTTAACATAGTCGAGTCAGGAATTCGAGCTCGTGATAGCTGGGCTAGAGGTGGTGCACGCTGCTGCTCGACCTCACAGTCCCAGGATAGACGTGATGTCGCTTCACATAATACAGTCACGTTCTATGATTATACATGTTTCACGTCTGTAATTCATCTTTCGCGACCATTCATGCTGTACAATACAGGCTGTTTCAAGATCTTTCAAACCATCTTACAAAATAATTCCCTCGATACTTTAAAAAGCAATCTTTAAACTGTTACAGATATTCAAAATAAAATTTGTAAAGGCTATATTCAACCATTTAAAACATTTTTAAAAGGTGTTTCGCAATAGTTGCTGTTAAACAGGGTTACATGTTCTTACAATTAACAATTAAAAACAAGTAATATAAAAATGCCATCCAGAAACAAATTAAAGATTAATTAATGTTACAACACAAGAACAAAATAATCTCAGTTCTTGTTAGAGACAGAACGAAGATTGGCCTTGAAAGTAAATAAAACACATCGTGGAATTGTTGCACACAATTGTGGTATCATACACCATCACCATCTCACCTCAACAGCCGTTACATGACGTCATTCCTGCTCTTCACCGGAACTACTCCCAGTTCTAGAAGATTTTATGTTTGGACTAGTGTAAACTAGGATATTATTTCTTTTTTAAAGTGGACGATTTATTTTATTCCTCTCTCGCAGTTTCGATGTATTTGGTATATTTAATATTTTTTTACTTATCTGAACAATATCAGAGGAATGAAATTAATTTCATTATTTCTGGACTTAGTAGCAAGACAAAGCAAAGATATTCGTGAAATTACATCGTGTTCATCAAAGAGTAACCTTGTTATATTACATAATAATTACACCTAAGAATGCGATGCGTTATAAATATTATGTATTTTAAATATCAACAGTTAAATAAATTACCTAAAGCTTATAGCTTTTAATTTAAATACAGATACCTCCTTATAGACCATTGACATTTCATGTCTATTTATATCCTCTAAAGAAAGTAAAGCATCATAGTAAAAGTATCATTTTCAAGTGATTGGCTTTAGAACATTTCCATAATTTAATGCTTGGAACATTAAAAAACAATTCTAGCTTTAATTTAAATATCTTAAAAGTGTAAATATACTTAGTTGACCCAATTGAGAACGTCTAGTTTTTAGTCCTGTGGTTCAATGAGTACACAGTTCCGATAGGAGAGGTGTGATGATTGTTTATTTGTAATGAGCAAAACAATGGGGTATGGAGACATTTAATTGGCACTTGGTTGGTTTTTAAGTGGACGTTTTTTACATCATAAATGTGCAAGTGAGCTGAGACTTTGTGAAGCGAAGTGAATGTGAATGTGTAGTGTTTGATGTTACTTGAGAGTTTGTAGCTCTTTGTGTTTGTAAGTTTTTGTTTATGTTTGTGTATATAGGTTTGTGATAATGTGAGGTTAAATGTTTGCGTTTATAAGTTTGACTTTATAGGTTTGTGTTTAAATGTTTCTGTTTATAGGTTTGTGATTATCGTTTTCAGTTAATATCTTTGCGTTTATGTGTTAGTGTTCATAGGTTTGTGTTTGTAGGTTTGTATTTACAATTTTGTGTTTATAAGTTGTCTCTTTGGGGTTCTTTCTTACTGGTCCTAGATTATTAGATACTCGAGGTAGATTGAAATAAATAACAATACATACGTACTTACCATTTCCTATAGAAAATTACAGGTACAAATGTTTACTTTCCATAGCAATCATATTTACATCCTATTTTTTGTGGATAACTAATACATCATTTTATTGTTTAAATTGGGATTTAAGTGTTCCATAAGCCTATGATCATGATCACTAGCTAATGGATATTCATCTCTTAATCCACCGGATTAACGAGGGATTTTATTCCTAACAAACAGTAATCCAGACCTGCCACTCCGTTAATCTTAGATAAGTGCCAGTGAAACATAAGACGGACTTGAGAAGGAAATTGTTACAATACATTTGTTTACGTAGGAATAATTGTATGTATAGAGAGCGTTCACATATTTTAACAATATAACAAAACATAAGCTATTGTTGTATACACATAACTACAAAAATAACGTTATTCGTACATAAGGGGACATTTAAACACATCGGTATATACAAGGATTTCAGTCAAGTATTTTTGTTGTTAAACTCCCATAAGGCTAGCTGGATCAACACAGTCGTTCATTGCCGTCACGGTTCTTATGTTGTCCGTGTTACGTCACAGCCAAGCGGCGCCATCTTTGTTTACAAGCGACTTGATACCACACCAAGTCACATGACTTGTGAAACCAAACACGTGACAGAATCAACCAATCACCGTCTAGCTTCACGGCTGTCTTTTCCAGGTGATTCGAATATTTCTACCAACATGGGGTCGCCCGTCGACTTTCTCCGAACCGGTGTTGGCGTTCGAAGCTTCGCTGTAGAACGTCGCGGCCGCGAGCTTCCCGCGGAAACAGCACCGGAAGGCGTCGGCGAAACTCTGCCGGAATCGCCTGTTCATGAAGCAGTAGGTGATGGGGTGGATGCAGGACGACATGTAGGCCAGGAGGAAAAATGTCGTTTTGAGGAGCGGGGTCATGTGATGTCTGGCGCTGACGTAGTTGAGCACGGACCACGTGTTGACGACGAAGAGCGGCGTCCAGCAGACGAAATACTCCAGGACGACCACGCAGAGCATCTTGACCACCCGCTTCTTGTTGGCCAGCACGCGGCAGTTGTGGGCGGGCCGCAGGATGTGCAGGTGGTGCTTGCCGTTAGAGGACTCGCTCGAGATGCTGCGAGAGATGTGGGACCGGGTTATCAGGGGGGTCTGGGTCACAGGGGTCGTGAACCCGTTCTGGCGCTCCTTGTTCTCGAAGTTTCTCTGGGGGTCTGACTCTGGGAAACGGAAGACAGGAATGTGTGTAAGTCATGATAGAAATATTATAGTGCAACCCTTTATTAACAGCATACAACACCAATATAAAAAATATTTTAAAAATATTGTTGTTCATACAAATACTAGCAATTACAGTAGGCCTATTTATTAAACATATGTTGTATTTTTGTTGATTTTTGTCACAGTAATTAAATTTGCTGAAACGATTTTTATTCTCAAACAATTATTACTATGCTACTTATAGCTTTGAAATCAACATGTAAAATTATCCAATAAAAAGTTTATTAATTGTCTCGTTATGCATAAAAGTTTAACAAATCTATATACCCGCTTTAGAAAACTTACAATGTAAGCAAAACGGTGTAGGCTAATATTTATTAAGTGCAAAAAACATATGTCAGTTATTGCAAGAGAAGCAAGCTCCTAAAGTAAAATTAAAAAATCTTGATTGGAAATATGCCATAAACCAAATCGATAATATTGTGAGTAAAGATAAACTTCATAAAAAGTTAAATCATATTTTAAAAATAAAAGACATTATTTATAATTGCAATAGTATGTGAGGTTATGTTTAAAACTGTAATCCACAACTATAAAAAGCTTAAAAAAATAAAAATATTTAAAATTGAGAGTGACGTCGAGAAATGAGTGTTTAGAAAGTTCTAGAAAGTTGACGCTGATACCAGAAGATGGTACCAGACGTCAACAGTGTAACTACAAAATCATCGTGCCGATGACGTCAAGATTACGTAGTGCCACAGGAAATGACGTGTTGACCCCTCCTGCAACACCCCCCCCCCCCCACCAGCACATTCCTATATAAAGCATCATCTCAAAGGTACCTAAAGTTTCATCTGATTGTTTTAAGATTTAGCCCACTTTGAATATTTGATACAATTCACATTTATTACGTCAACATTAAGATAAAAAAACGGTACTAAAATGATAACACTTCTATAAACAGGTATCAACTACTTTTCACTTTTTCCATTCCAGATTCTCTTCTGTAATGTAAACTTATTAGACACCCCCCCCCTGTGTAACCCACTTTGAATCCGACCCTATTCGACCCACTTCCCCCAGCCTGTTTTATCTTGCAGGAGGAGTCAACGAAACCAGCAGACATGGAAGCGAGACTTAATACATGAACCAGACCATCACACATACCCTAAATAAGTGTTACAGTCTGTGAGTTGACAGGAAATTACAAGTTACGGTAACTGAAGTGAGTAAACAAAGTTACCATAACCAAATTCAGATGGACATTTTACAATAACAATGTTACGAGTTACAATAACAAAGATTAGATCGACAGCAATTACAATAACAAAATAACAAAGATTCGTTTGACTCGGACGTTTTAAAACACATTTAACATTATTATTTTTAATAATGATAAAACTATACTTTTATTTTACCTTCTCGTGTAATTAAACAATTTATGGTTGATTTGAAACAAAAGTAATTAATTTTCGCTTCTAGTTTAAGTTGAAAAAAAAATTAATTATACTAATAATCTCCACTCGATATTTATACATATTTTTTTAAAAAGTTGCTAAGTTATAAAGAGTCTGTATCTTTTTACTAAACATAAATATACTTCTCTTCAACAATGCATGTTAGAAAGTAAGAGTAAATCTACGAGTTATGTATTGGCCTTGAAGATGACGTAATTGAAAACACATAAAGGATTACACGGCTCCAGGTGTGTACTCACCCATACTACGTGAACACGGCAGCATCTCTAGAATCTCTGTTGACGGTTGGTTGGTCATAGGATTATAGGATTAAGACAGTCATAGGATTATAGGATCAAGACAGTCATAGGGCTATAGGATTTAGACAGTCATAGGGTTATAGGATTAAGACAGTCTAAGGATTATAGGATTAAAACAGTCATAGGATTATAGGATTAAGACAGTCATAGTGTTCTAGGATTAAGACAGTAATAGCACTACAAGGCTTAGATATTCAGATAGCTAGAGAATTAGAGGGTTTAGGACGGTCATAGAATAATATGATTCAGACAGTCATTGAGTATTAAAGGGCTAAATGTCAATGGATTATGGGGTTAAGATACTCAGTGACTTAAAGTGTTAAGACAGATATGTAAATAGAGGGTTAAGATAGTCACATACAGAAGTGTAGTGTTAAAATAGTCACTCAGATAACAAGTGTTCAAACTGTGACTCAGGTAATTGCATAGTTGAAATAGTCAGAGGCGTAGCGACCCCTCCCGACGCCATGGGACAGACTTTCAATTTGGCGCCCCCTCCCCCCCCCCCTTTATATTTTTTTATATTTATAATTCAAAACTGTAGCTGAAATTAGCTTTTAATTTTTTTCCCAACCCATTTTGGCGCCCCTAGTGTCGGCTGTCGGCTACCGGGGACATATGTACCCCCCCCCCCCCCGTCGCTATGCCTCTGGAAATAGTCACTTATAGAATTGAAGTGTTAAGATCATTACCCAATTTTTAAAAAATAAGTTAATCACAGATTTAAAGATCTACGTCAATGTAGTAGACGTTAAATCAATTCAAAGAACTAAAGGCTGTTGAAACAAAGTTATACAACAAAAAATACATAATAGTGTTGTATATGTTTATATACAGTGCGACACAGCATAGTAAACTGATATATAATGTATGTAGATACAAATGTCGGTACACTAATGGGTCTTTTAGCCAAGTGTTTTATAGCATTGTGGAAAATTATATCATGTATACACTAAGTAGTCATGTCAGGTGTGTCAGGCTTATACCTTGCGAACAAGTATGTCAAGTTTATACTTGGCAGTCAGCTGATTCAAGTATACGTCTGATGGTCCAACTCAAGTCATGCTAGTTAAGTCAGGTTTATAACTGATATTCAACGAAGTCGTGTTTACTTCAGATTGTCAGTTTACACCAAATAGTCAGGTAAATCAGTTTGACAGATATGATTCAGGTAAATCAAGTTTACACTTAAAGCCAAGAAAGTCAAGTTTACACCACCTAAAGCCAGTTAAGTCAAGTTTACACCACCTAAAGCCAGTTAAGTCAAGGTTACACCACCTAAAGCCAGTTAAGTCAAGTTTACACCTGGCAGCCAGGTGAGACAAGGAGGTAGAGGAAGTAGAGTTACCTGACAAGGGGCTGCTGGGCTCAGCAGATGTGATGCTGACGTCAGACCAGAGTTCTCTGGCCACACGCGCGTACGAGAATCCCATGAGGAACAGCGGCACCACCAGCAGCACAACCACCAGCAACACCTGGTAGACGGACTCCCACTCCAGGCTAGGCCAGATCTCCCTGGGGATGTGATTGGTGCAGGGTGAGGATATGATTGGTGCAGGGTTAGGGCGTGATTGGTGTTAGGGTATGATTGGTGCAGGGTGAGGATATGATTGGTGTAGGGGTTAGGACATGATTGGTGCAGGGGTTAGGACATGATTTGTGCATGGGTCAGGACATGATTGGTGTTAGGGTATGATTGGTGCAGGGTGAGGATATGATTGGTGTAGGGGTTAGGACATGATTGGTGCAGGGGTTAGGACATGATTGGTGCAGGGGTGAGGGCTTGATTGGTGCAGGGGTTAGGACATGATTGGTGAAGGGGTTAGTTTAACATAAGGATTACACCCTACGCCCCAGTTTTTACTTAGAAAGTTATCCTTCACCTGACGCTCCAGTCTCTACTTAGTCAGAAGCCCCACCCCCCTCCATCTTACACCTACCTGCAGGATACGCTTAACCTGCTTACAAGCGTACCCTCCCCCCCCCCCCCGTCTTGACTTAGAAAGTTGAACCACACTTGACGCCCCAATTGAGCCCCCCCCATGCACCTACACTGCATGCATACGCCCCAGTCTTTACTTATAAAGTGGACCCCCCCCCCTTACCTGCATGCATAGGCCCCAGTCTTGAGCTGATGAAGCTTCTGGAAGACTGCGATGGGCACCATGATCGTGATGGAGGTCAGCCAGATGGCCAGGATGACCCGGTACGAGTGGGTCAAGGTCTGCCAGCGCCGGGATTTGAGGGGCTGACAGATGGCGTAGAACCTCTCCAGGGAGATGGCAACTAGGGTACCACAGCTTACCCCCACAGACACGGCTGGGGAGGGGCAAACAATGGGTTAAATATCACGTTGTGTAGTGTAGGAGTTGTGTAGGTGGTGTGTTGTGTAGGTGTTGTGTAGTGTAGGTGTTGTGTAGTGTAGGTGTGTAGTGTAGGTGTTGTGTAGTGTAGAGTAGGTGTTGTGTACTGTAGTGTATTGTAGCTGTTGTACATTGTAGGTGTTGTGTACGTGTGTAGTGTAGGTGTGTAGTGTAGGTGTGTAGTGTAGGTGTTGTGTAGGTGTTGTGTTATGTACAGTGTTTCTTCCAGACTTTTTTCTCCGGGGGGGCACTTGAAATCTTCGGGGGGGGGGGGCGGTAAACTGTCTTCGGGGGGGCGGACACTGTTAAAAGTATATATTTTCTATATAAATTATATAAATTTCATTTCGTTCGGGGGGGGCGGTAAAAATTTTTCGGGGGGGGGGGGGGGGGGCGAAGCCCCCCCGAAGAGATGCCTGGAAGAAACTCTGGTTATGTAGTGTAGGTGTGGTGTAGTATTGGTGTGTAGTGTAAGCGTTGTACGTGTAGGTGTGGTGTAATGTAGGTGATACAAAGGTCAAACATTGAATTGTGAAAGGTATTATAATGTGTAGGTGTTGTAAAATGTAAATATTGTGTAGTGTAGTTGTGATGTATAGTTGTTACACAAGACATACATTATCTACATGACTAAAATAAATGTTTCAAAACAAAATCTATCTTCTTAGTGGGTCGGTAAATAGTATATATTTCATATAGACTCTACTTTTGTAATATAGATGTACTGTAGTTTAATATGCTGTGTAAATTTAATACCTGGTTTGGTAATGTATATGATGCACAAATCAAATATGTATGATATAGATTAAAAATATGTCTTCAAATTTTTGTTTTTAAAAAGATTTTAAATGCTAATATTAAAAAAAAATGTTTCGCTTTTTAAGTTAACCAACTTGATACGTCTGCTTAAATGTTAAGAATAATGTAGACGCACACACATTTGTTTAATTTGTTTATTCATTTTATGTAATATACATTTTTATATATTTCCCAGGGCCAGATGATGTGTTTAGATATAATGGAACAACGATACAGCATTACAACGACCACATTTTACACACATTACCATATGAACAGGAACCACACAAATACGTTTCTTTTAACAGAATAACATAAGATATACATCAAATGTCTAAAATGTCGATACTCCCGATGTTGCTACTCTGGGATATTCACCAGCTTACACCTTAGATCTCTCAGCAGACGACCCAACGACTTAACTCCGGATAAATCCTCTTTTTAAACTCTCAACAATCCACAAATTAAATCAATAAATGTCGCTACTTCACACCAACACTTCTGTCTTAAAGCACTAGTTGTCCTACAAAATAAAACAGAAACAAGTAATTAAAAAAAGTCTAGTGACAATTTTAGCGCAATTTCCTTATATTATCTAAAAATAGCTCTGTCGTAGCGTAAATCAAGAGCAGGGTTAGTAAAACCATTGGTTAGTTATTAAAACGTTTTTTATTAAAAAAAATTTCAGTATTTTACATGTTTTATTTACAATAGATTAACATGACTAAAAACCATTGCGCGCCTAGCTACCGAACGTGATGTCGCAGCCATTGAACGTGATGGCGCAGCTATTGAACGTGATGACGCGTGTGGTGTGGTTGGAAAAACATGCCTACTAATTCGGCCTAAATTTTAATTAATTCAAAAAAAAATTTGTGACCGAACGAAAGGATATTTTTGAAAACTTTCTTCGGCAATATTGTTCTAAATTATGACAGGAATCGATTGGTACATGTTTCAAGTCGCTAAGTGGTCTGGTTGCCGAGATGTGGGCCAAAAACTGCATTTTTTCGAGGTTTTTTGGCTTTTTCGGGAAATCCATGAAAGAAACCCTGAATTTTTATGGCCTATGTTCATCCTCGTAACTTGCTTAACATAATTGCTTTTGTAACTAGTCATCGATATTGCTTCGTTGAGGAGGAGATACGACTTAAAGCCCTGACACACATGACTAGTTCCAAAAGCAATTATGTTAAGCAAGTTACGAGGATGAACATAGGCCATAAAAATTCCGGGTTTCTTTCATGGATTTCCCAGAAAAGCCAAACAACCTCGAAAAAATGCAGTTTTGGCCCATATCTCGGCAACCAGACCACTTAGCGACTTGAAACATGTACCAATCGATTCCTGCCATAATTTAGAACAATATTGTCGAAGAAAGTTTTCAAAAATATCCTTTCGTTCGGTCACAAAATTTTTTTTTAATTAATTAAAATTTGGACCGAATTAGTAGGCATTTTATTCAACCACACCACACGCGTCATCACGTTCAATAGCTGCGCCATCACGTTCAATGGCTGCGTCATCACGTTCAGTAGGCGCGCAATGGTTTTTAGTCATGTAACTCTATTGTAAATAAAACATGTAAAATACTGAAAAAAAAAATTAATAAAAAACGTTTTAATAACTAACCAATGGTTTTACTAACCCTGCTCTTGATTTACGCTACGACAGAGCTATTTTTAGATAACATAAGGAAATTGCGCTTAAATGTCACTAGACTTTTTAATTAACTTGTTTTCTACTCCATTTTATCGAGGCACGCTAACACTGACGTTTACTTCCAACTAATTCGCTAGCCGCTCCCTTGGCTTAACCTAGTCCTCTTTGTTCCCCACCCCTGTAATCCATCCTCTCCTCACCCCTGTAATCCAACCTCTCCCCATCCTTGTAATCCACCCTCTCCCCACCCCTGTAATCCACCCTCTCCCCACCACTGTAATCCACCCTCTCCCCTTGTAATCCACCCTCTCCCCACCCCTGTAATCCACCTTCTCCCCACCCTTGTAATCCACCCTCCCCACCCCTGTAATCCACTCTCTCCCCTTGTAATCCACCCTCTCCCCACCCCTGTAATCCACTCTCTCCCCTTGTAATCCACCCTCCCCACCCCTGTAATCCACTCTCTCCCCTTGTAATCCACCCTCTCCCCACCCTGTAATCCACCCTCTCCCACACTGACCAGACAATCAACGACTTGAAATATTTATGTCGGGGACAAGAAAGCGGCACTTGCGGTCTGTTTTAACGGCACACAAGTCGTTCCCTGTTTTAACGGCACACACGTCGTTCCCTGTTTTAACGGCAGACAAGTCGTTCCCCGAATGCCAGAGTCGTGCTACATTTGACGGTAGTTTTCATTTCACACCGATCTCTCCTTAAGTCAGTCTAGTCGGCTCTTTTCTCCTAACACAAAACATAAAACTTGCGTACACACATATTTTATAACGTTTGGTTTCGCGCTTCGTACACACAACTCCCATAAAAGCTGTTTGTATCTAGAAACGTATGCTTCTAACCTCGAATTAACAACCTTTTAAATAATGAATATTTTAACAACATCACACTTCCAGAAAATAAAAAATAATGTTTAGAAATGTATCACTGTCGATAAATATTTGTTTAGCAAACCGACAAAGCAAACACCCATGAGTGTGGTAAGGTCGGGCTGAGTCTAACAAAGAACTCCATCCGGTTTTTTTTTTTGGATCCTGTGAAACATTTCTAAATGAAAAAAAATCTTATAAAAGAATTCTATAATATGATAAAAGACTGACATTATATAACGTATTGATTTTTTCCATTAAAAAAGTCATCCGCTTGTTGTTTTTTATAGTGTGTTGCGGTGTCTCCGATCAAATCTAACCATAGAATTTTAAATTGTTTCAAAACTCTCGTTTTATTGTTTGTAATGTATACATTTTATAAAAAATGATTGAAATTTTTTGCAGTTCGTAAAAATAAACGTATGTATACAAATGTGAAATGAATAATATTTTTTCCCAATATAAACCTTAAGTATATATGGATTACATTGCACGATTTGAGGATAAGACTATCACAGTGTGATGATTTCTGTATCCCACTGTATAAATTTTAGAATCCCACCATAAAGATTTCGGAATACCCCCATCAATATTTCTGTATCCCACTGTATGAATTTTAGAATCCCACCATAAAGATTTCGGAATACCCCCATCAATATTTCTGTATCCCACTGTATGAATTTTAGAATCCCACCGTAAAGATTTCGGAATACCCCCATCAATATTTCTGTATCCCACTGTATGAATTTTAGAATCCCACCATAAAGATTTCGGAATACCCCCATCAATATTTCTGTATCCCACTGTATGAATTTTAGAATCCCACCGTAAAGATTTCGGAATACCCCCATCAATATTTCTGTATCCCACTGTATGAATTTTAGAATCCCACCATAAAGATTTCGGAATACCCCCATCAATATTTCTGTATCCCACTGTATGAATTTTAGAATCCCACCGTAAAGATTTCGGAATACCCCCATCAATATTTCTGTATCCCACTGTATGAATTTTAGAATCCCACCATAAAGATTTCAGAATACCACCACAGAGATTAACATAAGCCATAAAGATGGTTCAGAGTTCAGGGGTATAATTAAAAGCTAAGTTGCTAATTAGTTTCTGTGTTAATTAACCTCAGCTGTAGGTAAACACGAGCCTCTGGCATAGTTAGCTTAACCTTAACCATGTGGTTAGAAGAGTTGTGGTTATGGCTGTTGCCAGCTTTAGTTGGTGTAAGCTAGTCAGTTCTGGTGAATGGGGAGATAACTAGTCAGTTTATTATCTACATAGACACACACACACACACACACACATACGTGTTTGTGTTTATATATATATATATATATATATATATATATATATATATATATATATATATATATAATTTCTATAAACACAAACACGTATATGTGTGTATATGTTCTGACGTTATATCACTTGTTGCTCAGCTAAACAATGCAAGTTGGAAGGTGTGACGTTCGAACATAAGCATAACATAGCTAGACCACTGGTTCTTAACCAAGCTCGATTGAACCCCAAGGGTTCGGTGTGTCAGTCTTTGGGGTTCGGCGGAGGCCTTGAAACACACCCGACTCATACGATTCGCAAT